ATCTATCTATCTATCTATCTATCTATCTATCTATCTATCTATCTATCTATCATTATCTTATTTTTATTTACTTATTGGTATCCCGCCTTTATTATTTTTACAAATAAATCAAGGTGGCAAATATGTCCAACACAACTGCCTCCTATTTTCCCTATGACAACAACCCTGTCAGGGTGGGATGGGTTGAGAGAAAGTGACTGGCCCAAAGTCAGCCAGCTGGCTTTCATGGCTAAAGAGGGGCTTGAACTCACCTTCTCCTGCTTTCGAGCCTGGTGCCTAAGTCACTAGACCAAATTGGCTGTCATATCCTGCTTTACACTCTTAAATGTCCTTGTGCAGCTCCCCTCAAGTGGTTGAGCCAACTTCATGTCCAGGAACCAGGGCCTTTGTAGAATACTGGTTTGTTTATCGAGAAAGTTTCCTAATTATTTGAGAGCGGACACTTTCAAAGAAACTAGTCAGGGCAGAAGCTGGGATGGAGTTTTTGCCAAGCAAATGCTAACTCATGTCTAATATTAATCAATTGAACAGAAGGATGAACCTGGCGTAGGATTCAAAAATCCCAGCAACTGGTTGTCTGCCCGGTTGCTGGGTGGGCATGGCCTACCGCAGAGACGGTATTCAGCCGGTTCACACCTATTCGGGCAAACCGGTAGCAAGAATTTGGCGTGGGTCGCCGAACTGGTATCAACATCTGGCTGGCCACGCCCCCAACCCGGTCGCCCAGTTTCCACTCACTCACTTGTCCTGCTCTCCCAATGCTTGCTCGCCCCAGTTTAAAGGAGGACTGCTCCTCTGCCCTAGCCATGCATTTTCATGCAGCCACTTGAAAACACATGACTGTGGGCGGAGCAGCGGTCCGTTAACCTGCAAAACTGCTCCAAGGCTGGATTCTTCATGGACACTAGAAGTATCGCTTCCCCTTGTGATTAAAGTGGCTGGAGTGAGAGGGAATGGAGGAGGGGGGGGAGGAAATCCAGCCACAAAGAAGTTTGAATGAGCTGCAAATGCATGTTCCTTAACTTGCAAAACTTCTCCAATCTGGATTCGTTTCCCCTTGTGAGTAAAGTGGCTGGAGTGAGAGGGAATGAAGGCTGACGTGTGTGTGTGTGTGTGTGTGTGTGTGTGTGTGTGTGTGAGAGAGAGAGAGAGAGAGAGAGAAGAAAGAAAGAGGAAGGGAGAAAGAAAGAAAAGAAAGAAAGAAAAGAAAGAAAGAAAGAAAGAAAGAAAGAAAGAAAGAAAGAAAGAAAGAAAGAAAAGAAAGAAAGAAAGAGAATTAGGGAAAGTGTGTGTGGTGTGTGTGTGAGAGAGAAAGAAAGAGGAAGGGAGAAAAAGAACAAGAAAGGAAGGGAGAAAAAGAAAGAAAGAAAAAGAAATAGGGAAAGAGTGTGTGGTGTGTGTGTGAGAGAGAGAGAAAGGAAGAAAGGAAGGGAGAGAAAGACAAAGAGAAAGAAAGAAAAAAATAGGAAGGAAGGGAGAGAGAGACTGAGAAAACTCTGCTATTATTTTGAATTGTTCCATTATTTATCATGTGTTAATATTTTACACTGTCCCAACACCTAGAGTGATTATACTGCCTTTCTTTTGCCCAGGGCTACCACATATTTTTCAGGGTTTACATGCATTCAATGTGTATAGTCCAGAGCCTAAATACATGTGTGTTTAAAGGGACTTTGGAGGTCTTCTAGTCCAAGCCCCTCCTCAGGCAGATGAGGATGCCAAATTCTGAGTAGAGGTCCTGGGAAAGGTGTCAGAATAACACTTAGAAGGGACTAGGGTGAACCCTATACCATTTCAGAGAAATGGCTGTCCAGTCTTTTAAAAACTTCCAGTGATTGAGCACCCAGAACTTCTGGGGACAAGCTGTTCCATTGGTTAATTGTTCTTACTGTCAGAAAGTTTCTCCTTAGTTCTCCTTGCTTCTCTCTTTGTTCAGTTTCCATCCATTGCTTCTTGTTTACCTTCTGGTGCTTTGGAAAATACATTCCTCCCTCCTTTCTTTCTGGCAGCCCCTTAAAAGCCTGTTGGCTATCGCACTCTTGGGCAAAGCATGTGAGCCATTTCCTCCTTTCACTGGTCCATGAAAGTACATCTATAGTATGTAGATAATAAAGTCAAAAAAAGGTGAACAACATTTCTACAGAACTATAGATAAGTTGAGGCTGGGTGTGACGAGGAATGGCTTGGAAGGGAGGGGCCAGGTGAGGCAGCCCTTGACATGAGTGACATTAAGTTGGCCACACCCACTCAGTCACATGACCACCAAGCCATGCCCACCCAGTCACGTGACCACCAAGCCATGTCTACCCAGTCACATGATCACCAAGCCACACGACCACCGAGCCACGCCCAAGCCACATGACCACCAAGCCACACCCACCAAATAAGCCATGCCCACAGAACCGGTAGTAAAAAAATTTGAATCCCACCACTGGCCTACCGAAACTTCCAGGAGGGCCATTTTTCGCCTTCCCCAGAGTCCGAAGGCTTCACTCGGGCCTCTGGGAGGGCAAAAATGGCTGTCCCCCCAAGCTCCGTAGGGCCTCCAGAAGCCGGAAACAGGCTTGTTTCCAAACTTCTGATACTTCCAGGAAGGCTGTTTTTTGCCCTCCCAAGGGTCCGGAGGCCTCCCCCGGGCCTCTGGGAGGACAAAAACAGCCTCCCCCAGGCTCTGGAGGCCCACCGGAAGCCGGAAACAGGCCTGTTTCACGACTTCTGAATTTTCCGGGGGGTGGGGGGGTGTTTTTTGCTCTTCCAGAGCCTCCACATGTACTTACCTGCATCCAAAATGGGCCATGTGGAGATTCCTGGGAGGCAGGGGGCAAGGTGGGTGTGGCCAGCCAGTCAGTTCAACTACCAGTTCGGCGAACCAGATGTAAATTTAATATCCGGTTTGCCTGAACCAGTCTAAACCGTAGAATCCCACCCCTGGTTGTACCTTTAAATATATATTTTTTCCCAGACAGGGTGTAGAATTAGTTATCTGGCTGAAGTAACTGATTGTACTCATTCCTCAACTGGACTTTGGCTGACATCAGATTTTTCTCTTTATTTCACATGGGTTAGTTATCTGGCTTAAGTAACTGATTATACTCATTCCTCAACTGGACTTTGGCTGACATCCGATTTTTCTCTTTATTTCAGATGGGCAGGTGTGGATCAGAAGAAATGATAGAGAGGTGTCACAACCTGTGCTGGAGGACAGTTACACATGCCAAGGTGTAGAAGGACCTTTTGGAAATTCAGGGGCAGTGAAGGCAAACGGAAACCTAATTGGTGAAAGGAACGAATCTTTCACTAATTTGGACATTGGTTTCCATGAGATTTCAGTCCACCCAGACCTTCCAAAGGAAAGAAAAAACCACGAGGCTTCTTCCTATGTAGAAAGTTGGGATGAAACATCAGATAGGAACATGAGCTGGAAATCCCACCCAGGAGAGAAGCCATTTCAATGTCTTGAATGTGGGAAGAGTTGTAGTAGGAGCTCCGAACTGATTAGGCATCAAAGGGTTCATACTGGAGAGAAACCCTATGAATGCCCTGAGTGCGGGAAGAGCTTCAGTCAAAGCAGAAACCTTACTTCCCATCAAAGGAGCCACACAGGAGAGAAACCCTATCAATGTTTAGAGTGCGGGAAGTGTTTCGGTAACAGCGGCATTCTCACTTCTCACCAGAGGAGCCACACGGGAGAGAAACCCTATCAATGTTTACAGTGCGGGAAGTGCTTCAGTCAAAGCGGCATTCTCACCGCGCACCAAGTCATGCACACGGGGCAAAAGCCATTTCCCTGCCTGGAGTGCGGGAAGAGGTTTCGCCAGCTCATACACCTTACGTCCCACGAGAGAATCCACACGGGAGAGAAACCCTTCCGGTGCCCGGAGTGCGGGAAGAGTTTCCGTCAACATATACATCTGACTTCTCATCGAAGAACCCACACGGGAGAGAAACCTTTTCGGTGCCAAGAATGTGGGAAGAGCTTCAGCCAGAGTTCACACCTGATTCGGCACGAAAGAACCCACACGGGAGAGAAACCATTTAAGTGCCTCTTGTGCGAAAAGAACTTCGGTCACAGCTCTGAACTGGTTCGACACGAAAGAACTCACACAGGGGAGAAGCCCTTTAAATGTCCCGAGTGCGAGAAAGGCTTCAGTCGCAGCTCTGAACTTCTGCGACACAAAAGAATCCACACCGGGGAGAAACCCTATAAATGCGTGGAATGCAACAAGAGCTTCGTCGATAGCACAAACCTTATTAGACACCAGATAATTCACACGGGGGAGAAACCATACAAGTGCCCGGAGTGTGGGAAATGTTTCAGTCAGAGCAGAAGCCTTACTGCACATCAGCGGATTCACACGGGCGAGAAGCCCTTTAAATGCCAGGAGTGTGGGAAATGTTTTAGTCAGAGTGGGATCCTTACCGCCCATCAAGGCATGCACACGGGACAGAAACCCTTTAAATGCCTGGAGTGCGGGAAGAGGTTTCGTCAGCATATCCACCTGATCTCCCACCGAAGAATCCACACAGGCGAGAAGCCGTTTAAGTGCCCGGATTGCGGAAGGAGCTTCCGTCAGCACATACACCTCACCTCTCACAAAAGGATTCACACCGGGGAGAAACCTTTCCAATGCCAGGAATGTGGCAAGAGTTTCAGTCACAACTCCATCCTTATTTCTCACAGGAGAACCCACACCGGAGACAAACCTTACAAATGCTTGGAGTGTGGAAAGAGCTTCACTTGGAGCACCCTCCTGATTAGACATGAACGAACTCACACTGGGGAGAAACCCTTTAAATGCCAAGAGTGTGGCAAGGGCTTTAGTGAGAGCTCGCTTCTCAGTAAGCACCAGCGGCGTCACACTGGGGAAAAACCTTTCAAATGTTTGGAGTGCGGGAAGAACTTTTTCTCTAGCACGCTTCTTATTCGACATCGGAGGACTCACACAGGTGGGAAACGGCTCAATATTTGGAATGTGGAAAACGCATCAGGAATTGTTTGAGACAAAAGAATTTGAAGAGGAGAAAATTCTTAGCCGTGATCAGAATGGGACAAAAGTTGTCATGCCTTAAGTCTAGAAATTATTTATCAAAAATTTGCAGAGTAATGCACCATAATTATTCTTTTCATGGAATAAGAGTTTTTGTTTTAGCACTGTATCTCATCAGGAAATTCCAAGAGGCAATGTGAAGCAGAAGTGTACAAAGCAAGGCAGAATAGCAATATATTTCTCGGTAGATTGGAAATCTATCATCTTGTCTAGGTGCTCTGGACTTCCTTGAAGAGTTAAATTGAAGAAACTCACTACTTTAATTCTTATGGTTTAAGTATGTTTCTTAGTCACTTCAGCTAAGATTCTCTAGGTCACTATTTTTCAATCTTAGCAACTTTAAGATGTCTGGAGTCCAACTCTCAGAATTAGCCAAACTGGGGGATTCTGGGGGTTGGAGTTGTTGGAAGAAAAATTCCAGGTCCAGTTCCAAGCCGTGGATAAAATGGAGGCTGATTGGAAAGAAAGTTGATTTAATGGTGAAGAGAACCACCAACAGCATTGATTCTGGGACAGCTGACAAAATGGAGTTTAGAGTGGGTGGGTTTTATGGGGTCATGGCTGGCTCTATAGGGAAATTCTAAGTGTTTGTCTGAGCTAATTTTGTCAACCTTTGGCTTGATTGTGTTGATTATTGTGTTGCTTATCTGAAGTTGCTGCCTGACCCAGTCTTTCTGAATGGATTACCAAGTCTGCATTTCCAAAAGCTGGCCTCCTCAGTTTCTGCTTGCGGCAGGGAGACTGGTGCTGTTTCTGCCTCCCTTAACATTTTCCCCCATTTCTCCTTTAGGGGAAATACTCCATCCTGCCTTTTTAATATTCCCCAAAATATTTCATTATTGGGGGGGCGGGGGGGTTCCCACAGAGTCCAGGTATCTTAAAGTTGTTAGAGTGAACATGTGTGATTCAACACTTTTCTGCACTGCATCTCCTTGGACGGAAGTCACTCCTTGGAATTTCTATTTATTTTCCTGTTTTTAAAATTCATTTGGGAATATATTAGGCTAGTGGCTCCTAACTTTTTGGGCACCAGGGACCAATTCTGCAGAGAGAAGTTTTCCACGGACCGGAGGGGGGCATGGTTACATGTGCTTCCTGCATCCCATGGATGGGGCATCATTTGTTTGCACGGCCTGGTTTCTAGCATACCCCAGACCAGGGCCATTCCATAGACCAGGAGTTGGGGACCCCTGTATTAGGCAGTATTCAAGGGCATAGTTGCTGTTCATGTCCTAAAATGGGGGAGGGGGAGAATGTTCATTTGCCAAAGCAAAAAGGTCACTACATTTAATGTAAGCCAAACTTTTTCTACATAGGAGATGACTTATATTGCATGCTTAAATGTTGTGAAGGCTGCTCATAAGCCAAGTCCCAGATAGGTAAGGCTTAAACATAGGTTTGAGGGTATAGGGAGGTTGCACCAATGGCGAAATCATGAGAATATCTGTCATAATGACAACAAATATATTTTAAAAAGGGAAACTATTGTCATGGGAGCACCAGTGAGAAAGTTAGAGACCGCCATTTTGGTCTTTTTCCAAGAAGAACGTGACTCCATCCATCTGAATTACTGCCATCTTGTGGCCGCATTGCCTAATAGCACCAGGCACCCTTAATATTGCTCATCTTGTCCTTAGCATGTGAAACTATTTGAACTAAGGCAGGAAAATGTGGCCATATTGATAAGTAGTCATCGACTTACAACAGCTCATTTAGTGACCATGTGAAATTACAACAGACTGTAAAACAGTGACTTATGACTGTTTCCCCCCACTTATGACCATTGCAGCATCCCTGTGGTCACATGATCTAAACTTGGGAACTGACTCATATTTATGACGGTTGCGGTGTCCCAGGTTGTATATCCGGTGTCCCAGAGCTAACTCTGCCCACTGCCAGGGGTTCGATCCTGCATTCTAACCACTGCATCACCACAGCAATGTTCTACGTCAGTCTATGGCCCACAACATGCATTCAAAGGACGAAAGGCTAAGTCAACCTTGAGCTGGTGATGATTGAACTCCTTTTCATTCAACAACGTCTGGCTAAATGCACAGCAGGAAAAGTCAGTTTTGAATTCCCTGACTGGCACTTATTGGTGCAGGTCTTTTTGGCAGCAATACAGAAGTAGTTTCCCATTGGCTTCTTGTGGGATGGATAGATGGGTGGATTTACAGTCTAGTCTGCAGTCCTATTCCTGTAATCTCCAATTGGGGCCTAATTTATTTTTTCTTGTTAAATATAGTGCTAAATATAGTATATCCATGGTGGCACAGTGGTTAGAATGCAGTATTGCAGGCTAACTCTGCCCACTGCCAGGAGTTCAATCCTGACTGGCTCAAGGTCGACTCAGGCTTCTGTCCTTCTGAGGTGGGTAAAATGAGGACCCAGATTATTGGGGGCAAGAGGCTGACTCTGCAAAACTGCTCAGAGGGCTGTAAAGCACTGTGAAGCAGTATATAAGTCTAAGTGCTATTGCTATTGTGCCCCACCATGTCACATTGGCCCCAATCTTGTTGGCCTTTAAGAAGTCCCTGAGGGCATGGCTATTCCATCAGGCCAGGGGTGTGAAGAGCCTGCATGGTGATTGCAGTGTTTGTGAAGTCTGGATAACATCCTTCTGTGCTTTTATGTTTGCGATTTATTGCTCAAATTGTTTTTATTTGTATATGTTTGGGTTTTTTTGCTGCTTTTAACTTGTAAGCTGCTCAGACTCACGTTAGTGAGACGAGTGACTATAAAAATATAAATAAATAAAGCAAGCATATGCTGGAATGTAACAAAGATTGGTGTCATAGATGACTTTCACCACCTGTTTCCGACTTTCATACTGATGTGGGCATTTGAAGCTTTATACACTGCTCAAAAAAATAAAGGGAACACTTAAACAACACAATGTAACTCCAAGTCAATCACACTTCTGTGAAATCAAACTGTCCACTTTGGTAGCAACACTGATTGACAATCAATTTCACATGCTGTTGTGCAAATGGAATAAACAACAGGTGGAAAGCATAGGCAGTTAGCAAGACATCCCCAATAAAGGAGTGGTTCTGCAGGTGGTGACCACAGACCACTTCTCAGTTCCTATGATTTCTGGCTGATGGTTTGGTCACTTTTGAATGCTGGCGGTGCTGTCACTCTAGTGGTAGCATGAGACGGAGTCTACAACCCACACAAATGGCTCAGGTAGTGCAGCTCATCCAGGATGGCACATCAATGCGAGCTGTGGCAAGGTTTGCTGTGTCTGTCAGCGTAGTGTCCAGAGCATGGAGGCGCTACCAGGAGACAGACCAGTACATCAGGAGACGTGGAGGAGGCCATAGGAAGGCAACAACCCAGCATCAGGACCGCTACCTCTGCCTTTGTGCAAGGAGGGACAGGAGGAGCACTGCCAGAGCCCTGCAAAATGACCTCCAGTGGCCCACAAATGTGCATGTGGCTGCTCAAATGGTCAGAAACAGACTCCATGAGCGTGGTATGAGGGCCCGACGCCCACAGGTGGGGTATTGTGCTTACAGCCCAACACCATGCAGGACGTTTGACATTTGCCAGAGAACACCAAGATTGGCACATTCGCCACTGGTGCCCTGTGCTCTTCACAGATGAAAGCAGGTTCACACTGAGCACATGCGACAGACGTGACAGGGTCTGGAGACGCCGTGGAGAACGTTCTGCTGCCTGCAACATCCTCCAGCATGACCGGTTTGGCAGTGGGTCAGTAATGGTGTGGGGTGGCATTTCTTTAGGGGGTCGCACAGCCCTCCATGTGCTCTCCAGAAGTAGCCTGACTGCCATTAGGTACCGAGTTGAGATCCTCAGACCCCTTGTAAGACCATATGCTGGTGTGGTTGGCCCTGGGTTCCTCCTAATGCAAGACAATGCTAGACCTCATGTGGCTGGAGTGTGTCAGCAGTTCCTGCAAGACGAAGGCATTGATGCTATGGACTGGCCCGCCCGTTCCCCAGACCTGAATCCAATTGACCACATCTGGGACATCATGTCTCGCTCCATCCACCACAGACTGTCCAGGAGTTGGGGGATGCTTTAGTCCAGGTGTGGGAGGAGATCCCTCAGGAGACCATCCGCCACCTCATCAGGAGCATGCCCAGGCGTTGTAGAGCACATGGAGGCCACACACACTACTGAGCCTCATTTTGACTTGTTTTAAGGACATTACATCAAAGTATCATCCTGTAGTGTTTTTTTCCACTTTAATTTTGAGCGTAACTCCAAATCCAGACTTCCATGGGTTGCTAAATTTGATTTCCATTGATAATTTTGGTGTGATTTTGTTGTCAGCACATTCAACTATCTAATGAACAAAGTATTTAATAAGAATATTTCATTCATTCAGATCTAGGATGTCTTATTTTTGTGTTCCCTTTATTTTTTTGAGCAGTGTATATTCCTGACTTGGTTTAATAAAATTTAAGTCTTTAATGTAGAAAGCAAAGAAAGAGAAGTCTTGTTCTACTAACATAGGAGAAAAAGATCCTAGTGATGATTAATCTATACATAATCATATGAGGTGAGAGGTTTTTGGATGCAAACCATATAATTGGTCTATTCTATTCTTTCCTATTCCTTATTACCTATATTCTATTCTTTCCCTTTTACTATTCCTATACTTATTCCTACTCTATTTTTTTTAAGTATATTTTTATTGTTTACAACTATAAATATCAAGCACAGTGCAACCATTTTGGCATTACTTTGCCTTACATACAAAAGTATAACCAAACCATAAACATTCCTATTATTGGTACAATATTTACATTTTGATTCTAATCCTCCTAGCTGTTTTTGTTCTGACCTTCCCCTCTTTTCTGCAACCACAGGTAAAACTTATTCCAGTGATTCCCCCTTATCTTTCAGTATTAAAGTTAATATATCAGATTCTGCACAAGCCATTATTTTCCTTATTATCTCTCTTTTCGATGGTATACTTTC